CACCAACTGTTGTTACCTTCTCAACAAGCTGCTTGATGATGGTCTTGTAATCCATTTCATCCTTGTGTAGGTCTACAATATTGTTCCTGACATCCTTGGACAGCTCTTTGGTCTTGGCCATGGTGGAGAGTTTGGAAACTGATTGAATGATTGCTTCTGTGGACAGGTGTCTTTTATACAGGTAACAAGCTGAGATTAGGAGCACTCCATTTAGGAGAATGCTCCTAATCTCAGCTCGTTACCTGTATAAAAGACACCAGGGAGCCAGAAATCCTGTTGATTGGTAGGGGATCATATACTTATTTCACTAATTGATATGCAAATCAATTTATAACTTTTTTGACATGCATTTTTATGTTTTTTGTTAGCTATTCTGTTTCTCATTGTTAAAATACACCTACCATGGGCTATTTATACAAAACTTAAATTTGTAAAAAAATTAAAATTTTTATAGTCTATATCTAGAAATAACTGAACATCTTATTTTGCATATGAAATTATAAGCTACTCATGTTTTTTCAAACTGTTTCTTTGTAATAGGAATTATAATAATAGGAATTGTAATAATACGGTGCAAAGAATTCAAAAATTGAATAACAAAAGCTAATAAACTCTGTAGTTTAATCGACTTTTCTGTATGGATGCACTTTATATTTGTACACTTAATTTACAAAAGAAAAATAAATCATACATAGAATAAAACGTTATATAATTTTTTAAATTGACTAAACATATTTTTTTACATTTAATTTTTATTTAGAATGAAGTACGGAATAACGTTATACATCAGAAACTCCAAGCATATTGAAATTGCTTGTTTTAAAAGGATAATTATGCTGCATATTATTAATGATGTTTAATGTTTTCAAAGACATTTAATATAGTTCTAATAAATGATAATGACAAACTGTTAATAATTTAATTATTATCCTATTTGATAAATGTATTTTTCTTACATTACAAACAGCATGCGTTCTAATTTTTGTGGAAATAATTTCATATGTAAAAGGGATATACAATAGCTTCAATTTTTATATATTTAATAGTATTGGAAAATCACTGTTGAGATGCTCAACTTTCAGTTTTCCTGAATAATTTTTAACATTGTTTTATTTATTTTTTTAGCATGTTTTATGAACTGTCGTTTTCCATTTAAAAATCTATATGATTCAAACTGTAATCCATCTACTGGAGTTCATCTTAATTTAATGTATTTGTAGAGATAATTAGGATACTGGATCTGTTCATTAACATTTCAAATCTCATTTAAATGTAAATTGTAATATTCTTCTTTTTGCAAGAGTCAGTATTTAGTGTCATTCATGAGTAATAACTAATTTGCCTCTCATTAGCTACATAATTCATGAAAGAAATAGATCAAAATGAGCAGCACGCACAATCTTAAATAGTAGCCACCTGTACTTAACTTTGCTCATAGAATAGACTTTTTTTTTTCTTGTCATGCTTCATATTTGAATATATTGGTAGCTTAAACTTTCAATTATGCTGTTAACTTTTTTTTTCTTAAGAAATAAATAATATTTTGCATATCTCATCTTCCAGGTGTTATTGAGAACATCATATAGAATGAACATTGATATACTGTATTTGCAAAATCACTAACCGTTCTCTTCCAGTCAGTACTTCTCAACTTCATTTCTAATAAGTAACACAAGAACATGTTGGTTTTATTTAACACTTTTTTTTTTAATATAATTTTGTTTTCTTTAACCACTAAGTTGAATTACCTGCCATAAATATATCCTGCTAAAGTTTTTTTTCAGTAAGCATAACATGTTATGCACTCAACATGCTGAACTAAACCTATGGTCAGAAGAAAGCTAATGGTACTACTATGATAAGAAAAAAAAACATACACAAAGAAAAATTAATTTTGAGCTGCATCGAACACCTCAAAGTGAAAATAGTAAGTGATGACATTTGCTGTGGAAATGATAAATAAAAAACAATATCAGCTATAAAAGTTCCGGGGCGATAATGCAGATTTCCAAAGATGACATATGAAATGTACTGCACAATGGCAGGCCTCTTCATAACCCATCAGAATGAAACAAAAAGGACAGGCAAGCAACGGCAAATTTAGATCTATTTGTGCAAGTTAATCAGCTAATTTACAATCAGAGAAGAAAATACAGTCATACTGGCCAACAGGCAAACCTTACAAATACATTTTGGGACAGCTAGGAAGATCAGAGATCCTTTAACCAGCTTATTATAATTTTCTCCTTTTTCTGGTACCAAAGAAAGATGTGCAATATCACTGTTATTTATTCAGTGTCTCTGCAGTCTCATAAACGGAGTAACATTTGTGGCTGTACCCTGTGTTGGAGGATATAATGGAATAGTATATCTCTTATTTAGTATTTGAAACTCTACTGATGGTGCTGGGGAGAGTGCATCTAATATAGTAAATAAAATTCAATCACAAAAGGAGGGAAGAGAGGTTACAGTGCTAAACTAGTAAGCACTGATGCTTCTTGACTGGTTACTGAGGAACTCAAGGGCATCAACCCTAAAACAATTGAAAAATAAATACTAGAATAGAGTAGGGATAACCCCTCACGAAGTTGTACGAGGTCCCACCTCCAAAGAAGAGAACCTCTAAATAGTTAAGATTCCACATACATGTTATTAGCCTTTATTAAAGTACATGGCCAAAATTATCAAAATAAAAAAATATTATAGTGTGCAAACCCAAGTGAAAAATCAAAAGAGAAAATGAATATTAAAATGTCTAAAGGTAAATCGGTAGTGTCAATATCCTACATCAGAGGGCCCCATGTAGCCAATGTATATAGCATTAAATAAGACAGGGAATGAATGGGTTCACTAGTGCAAACGGATATAATTGCTGACTTGGGAGATGAGGAGACTAAGGACCGTTGAAAGAGTAATAGCCACCTAATGTCTAGAGCTCCGTGGTTCAATCAATGTAGAGGACGTACAGTTACACATATGGGAGCATTTGCCACCTCTCAAAGTATACTTATTTACTAAAGTCGAAGGGGGAGAATGAAGTATATATGAGAGTTAAGTGGATAGATCCTAAGATGGACAATAACACTGTCCTTTAAGGAAACAGAGTTTATCGCTACCAACTTAGTTCTGTATGCTGCAATGATGATGGCTAGTGATCATTCAGATATCTATTCACAGGCACATTCTATATCTAATCTAATACTGTGCTGCTTCAAGACAGCCTAACTAAATGGTCCCCGCCAAGTAGCATAGGAGAAAGCCACGAAGCCTACCAACCCCCAGGACAGATAAACCTCCCAGACTAAACACAGTTGAAACACAAAAGATAGCATCAGCAGACTAGTGCTAGCGTAAGGGTACGCCTTTGTCACAAGCTGAGTATTTATTTTTTTAAATTCAATCACATTAAGTAGAGAAGGCATGCAATACAAACGGGGATAAAAATATTGAGCTGGTGGGGCATGTCCTGCATCTTTATGTGAGTGATTGCACATGTTTAGAGCTCCCGACATTCCGAACCAAAAAGCCATTATTTATCACAATACCCGACTATATGGGTGTGACAAACCCCCCTTTTCCTGTGAGTTTGACACAAGTTTTTGGAGGGGCTTGTTTTCCCGCCTCTTGCCCCAGGACTATGGCCCATGTATTAGACCTGGCTTTAGGACTTTGGAAAGGCTTTGTTCATGCCTTTTCCCCTCCACGGTTCAGTATATGGGGCTACCGAATGGTAGGGGGTTCATTTGCTGAACAAACAATCGAACAGGCAAAACACGTGTAAGTGGAGTGTGCAGCCTATTTACCTCCCAAGCTGGTAGTTAACCACAGCCAAATTGATGTACGACTGGGTGGTTGCCATTCCTATAGTCAAACACGTGGTGGCGGCCATCTTGTTTAGTAGAACGCGTCCAGCGGTGTTTTGTCGCTGACAGCATGGAACTAAAATTGGACACTCGACAGCACGAACATCACTGGGAATTCAACCTCCAGTTGGTTGCGACTAGAATTGCACGAATGGAGCGCCGTTCGGGAGAAATAATCTTCAGAACCAGATACACTCACTGACTCTGTACACAAACGGCTCCATTCGACTATTTGAACGTTACTTCGACTGTTGAAATAGACCGACCATACAGCCTAATTCTCTGGAATTATTTTCGGCATGAAGCCATGCGTGCAGTCGGTCAAAAAGAGACTTCCAGGGAATTCCTGAACCCCTGCTCTGATCTGGGTGATTTTTGGATATGTTGTTCACCCAGATTAGGACTATCAGGGGATATGTTGTGTTTTAGGGTACTTATGAGACTTTATAAAATATGTGGTCTTCCTGCCTGGAGATAATTGAGTTACATTCTGCACTTTACTCAATTATCTCCCATGCAGAGGGGAGGGATTGTGTGCTGTGTGTGGGAGTGTCGTACATTTAATTATTGTTCTGATTGGTTTGTAAGCTTTGTGTCACTGTCCCTCACAAGGTCCATGTAGGTGTATACCTTGCTTGGGGACTTGCATAAAAGGCCAGCTGTGAATACCATTAAACACACTTGTTTTACCCTTCATGAAGTCTAGGCTCATGTTTGGGGGATTGGAGAACTACATTCACTCTGGGGATTGCTATAATCACTATAGTCCCTGGAGTATAATCACTAAGTTCTTGTAAGAGCTGTTCCTGCTGCACTCTCTGGAATAAGAGAGGTCTACCTACTGGAAGTTGGATCCTGGTATTGGTTCCATGGTGGGTGGAGGACGGCGAGACTCCAATTAAGCTGCAGTGCTTTGTGGGGTTTACGGTGGTAATGCTGTTCCAGTGCAGTGCTTATGCTACTATGAAGTAGCGATTGACAGAAGTACCCGGTCGTGGTGCCAGGCAGTCCGTCAACAGAAATAAACCCTTGACCCCTCAAGACCACTTGGGACCAGGATCTGGCAAAAAATCTGGGGACCTAGATTGCTATTTTAGGGACAAGGTGAGGGCTCTCATGCCCGACAGGGAAGACAGCATGGCAGTGCTGTCTAACACATCTGATTCCCCTCCATGGAGCCCTGCGCTCTCCGAGCAATCCACGGCATCCAAGGAACTGGATATTCGAGAGCTCCATCAGAGTCTCCCTTCCAGGTCAGACTTAGCCTTCATGTTGGGCCAACTGGAGGCCTCTATACAGGACCAGATGTCCACATTAGCGAAGGACGTCCGCCATATTGGACAACGAGTAGAGGAGCTGGAGGAGGAAAACCTCACTACTATCAAGGCTATTAAAGCCATTGAGACAAGGCAGTCTACGCTAGAGAAAATATTTCTCCACATGGCCAGGAATCAGGAGGATCTTGAGAGACATAATCTGTCGGATCCACTACTTCAGGATGAAAGAAGACATCATGCACTTGACAAAAGACTATCCTGTGCTTCAAAGGGGCAATACCACTATCCAGATATTTCCAGACCTGGCCTGGATGACATTACAGGGCCAGAGGGCTCTCCGCCTGATTACCCAGGCTCTTCAAGACCGTAAAATAAAATACCTTGTCTGTACTGCAGGATAGGAAAACCTACTACATCAGAACAGCGGCAGACGCCTCAGAGTTTCTGCGGAATCTTAACCTACCCCAGGTGGAAGTTCGGGACTGGTATATGGAGGCTACTTCACCAACAGCCCAGGCCTTACCACAGAGGGCCACGTGGAGACCGACCACAGGACGAAAACGACCCACTTCCAAATCTAGTTCCCAGCAACCCAGCACAAGGGCTAGAAAGGACTCATTAACACATTAACTACGGACCTCTACTGCTGTCCAGTGACACCCTCCACTTACCACAATCTTTCCATGGCAGGCCTTCAGCCTTAGGCCTCACGTGTTGACTACATTTGTATATACTTTAGTTCCCTAAACCCCCCCACCCTCTATCTCAGAAATTATACTTACTTGTACTTAGATCTATTACCATAGCATCCACACCAAAACTTGCTGATTGCATACCATTGTTCACCCATCCCCCCAGTATACATTAAGATGCTCAGGATTGCTACTTCAGAAAATCGGATGTTTAATGGGTTTTGCAAATACATCCACTCCCTAGTAACTTTAGTTGGGAGTCTCATCATCCTCCCACACTGGATAGTCTATCTATATACACATAATTCTATGGCCACAGGAAGTTTCTTTCCACCCGATGGCACTAAAGATGGGAAGACCCAAACAACTAATAGCCAATAACGGCTACATATAGACAATTCTTGCATTTGATCTCAAAGTTCAGAAGTCAGGAGCAAATATGCTCCTCTGAAACCTTAGATTCTTATACAGACAGTTAATATTTATATCTAAAAGCTGTATATATTTTGTGCACGGTATAACTTTGCTTTCCATTTAAGGACCACCATTTTATGCACATATCCGTATTGAACCACCCCCCAATTGTACGAGCGGAGTGAAATACATTTTTTATACCTTACTTTAATCACATATCTCCTGTGGATTTAACTCCCAACCCAGATTGGACAACTGGGGATAACTCAGGAGTGATACCATCTCCAGTTACTTGCACCCTTCTGTATTACTGCTTGCAGTGATCTTTTAACTTGTTTATTTGTTGTTTGTTAAACTTTATTTTGAGCACTCAATCCAATTATTTTACCTTTTTATAAGAGTGACTATTGTGCGGGACGCAGCCTCCATAGTGTTAAGAATTGAAACTACGTCCAGTTAGGATGCAAACTTACAATATTGTATCACACAATGTTAACTCACCCGAAAAGAGGCAAGTGGCGATAAGGGATTTCCTTAAGATGAATGCAGTGTGGCTTTTGTGCAAGAAACTCCCTTTTGGGGGAGGGGGTTCCCAAATTGAGCCATAAAAGATTTCCTCACTGCTACTATAACAATTTCCAGCTCAGCAAATCAAGGGGTGTAGCAATAATGGTAAACTCCAGAGTCCCCTTCATTTATCAACACCATGTTTCGGACACTTCAGGGAGGTATATTCTTCTCAAGGAGCTAGTAGGAAAATCGACCGTCACCTTGGTAAATGTGTACCTCCCAAATAAAAACCAGTGCTCCTCATTTAGATGCATACTGTCTTTGATAAGACATCACACTGAGGGAATCCTCCTCATAGGGGGTGACTTTAATCTCTCCCTCGATGCCCAAAGGGATAGTACTGCAGATACTTCCGCCCATCTTGCTTCGGCTAGGGCCCAGATGCACAGGCTGTTACATGGCAGTCAACTTGTTGATTGCTGGAGAATGCAGAACCTAAACACAAAAGACTTTACATTTTATTCAATCCCAAATAGGACATACACGAGAATAGACTATTTCCTGGTACCACACAAAGACCTCTTATTAATACGCTCCACTACTATAGGTAATGTGGTCTGGTCCGACCACGCCCCCATATCACTGAACATTGTTATTCCCATATTACTGGTACCTAAATATCAATGGAAACTTAATACCTATCTACTACAAAATCCTAAAGTCCAGCAAGCACTGGTGGTATTAATCACACAATATTTCCGGGATCATCAAACAGTGGACACCACCACTACAGTACAATGGGAGGCACACAAGTGTGTCATGAGGGGGGAGCTAGTGAAGTGGGGGTCACAATTGAAGAGGGAAAAATCTAGCACTAGGAAAAGGCTACTTGACTTGGAGGACAAACCTAAAACCACAATGTCAGACCCAGACTATTGCAAACTAGTATCCCTTAGATCTGAAGTTAAGATCCTCATGGACAACAGCATTGACAAAGCAATGCTCAAGACTAAACAAAGATTTTACACACAGGGCAACAGATGTGGGAAGCTGCTGGCTTCTGCACTAAAAACCCAACCCAACAACGCACATATATTCCAAAAATCAAACGGACAGACGAGACGACCACCCATACGGCCGAGGATATAGCTGAGGCATTTAGGGAATTTTATAGTTCCCTATACAATTTGCACCATACCCCCCTGTCTAATGAAGACATGAGGGCCTACCTGGAGCATGGCTTAAATCTTAGGTTATCCCAGGTAGAAGCTCAAGTGTTAGATACTCTTTTTACCTTGGAGGAACTAACAAAGGCAATAAACACGACCCCCTTGAATAAAGCCCATGGACCGGATGGTCCATGGGCACAGGAATTGTCACCTCACTTCTTGGACTCATTGAATTCCATATCCCCTTCCATTGCTATGCCCCCTTCCAGTCTGGAAGCCACCATCCCCCTGATCCCGAAGCCTGGAAAAGACCCGGTGGTCTGTGGCAGCTTCCATCCGATTTCCCTGATAAATGTGGACATGAAATTGTTTACTAAAATGCTAGCATTACACTTAAGGCCACACTTGCAGGGTTTGATCACCCTGACCAAGCAGGGTTTGTGCCAGCAAGGGAGGCAAAAGACAACACCACAAAGATAGTGGACCTGATACAACAGTCAGCCATCCTGTTGGCAATTGACGCTGAAAAGGCATTTGACAAGGTGGACTGGCCAATCCTCATGCTCATGCTGGAGACCCTGGGTTTTGGGCCCACTTGGATGAAGTGGGTTAGGGCTATTTATTCTCAACCCTCAGCTCAGATTAAAGTGAATGGCATCTTATCTTTGCCACTGTCCATCACCAATGGAAGTCGACAGGGTTGCCCCTTATCATCCCTCTTCTTCATTTTGGTATTAGAACCGCTGCTTCAAGCAGTATGCAGAAGTGGGGGGTAGGGGAAATACATGTAGACAATGGGAATTTAAGGTCTCCGCTTCCGCGGATGATTTACTCTTTACACTCTCTAACCCAACTACCACCCTCCCAGAACTGATACACAAAATCACCAAATAAAGTTCCATGGCTAATTTTAAAATGAATGCTGAGAAATGTGAAATACTTAATCTCACAGTACAACAGGGAGAAGTAGAACAACTGCAGAGAGAGTTTGGTTTCCAGTGGGCCCATACATCAATAAAATACCTGGGTGTCAGCATCCCAGCTAACCCTAGTGCGCTATACACACTGAATTTTTCTCGCTCGCTGAGAGGCATACAAGCGGACTCACAGACGTGGGATAAACCCACTCTTAGATGGATGGGAAGGTTCAATGCTATATCAATGAACATACTTCCTGTATCTTTTTTTTTTCAATTTGACAATTTTTATTTGTCTTTTCATAAGATGATGGGGTACAGAAAGGAAAGTGGGATGGGGTAAACATTAAGCATTATGCCATGCACAATAAAATGGTACAAAACAAGTGTTGCATTATTGATATTCATTCGACATACTAGGCATGTTTCAGTGTTCTTCTATTGTACAACTTACACAGTTGGTTACTAGGTGGACTTTGTCTAGTGACATTCCTGTCAAGTGGTGGAGAGTCCGCTCCATTGTGTTTCTGTGTCCGCTCTCATTATACTAGGGGATATATAGTTTGCTTATCTAGCTAGGGGGTCGGTATGTGTCAGATGCAACTCGAGCATTACAATTAGATTAGGACAGTTTCACCTTATAGTGTGGGAGTCTTCTCCCGTGAACTTGTTATTAATTTATATATATATATATATATATATATATATATATTTAGGTTTGTATTGTTTGTGCATATAATATAGCGGGGGGTACAGAAAAGAAGAAGGGGAGGGTTAAACTGTTAGGGTGCAGTGTACATGTTCTTGCCTATACATGTTAGACATTCCTGACAATCTTGGTCTTATATGGATGGTGTCGTGTTGCAAGTGGAGTGGGTCAAGGTCCAGCCATTTGCCTTGTGGTGTCCTATCCCAACTTGTGTTCCCTATGCCTGATTTTTGTCGCCTTAGTTGGGGGGGGAGGGTGGAGATTGGACGAGGTGGGTATGGGGAGGAGGTGTGGAGGGTGTGTGGACATGGCACCATTCGCATATTGCTCTTGTTTCTATGTCGTGCTTCGTTTATTATTTGCGTAGTGGTGCATGGGTCCTTGCCCCTTGAACTATGTACATTGTGGGTTCATATTCCGCTACGCCCTGGAGCTGGTGTGCTGTTTGGGGACTTCCCAGATGTCTCATGTTGGCCTCTTTGGCGGGGACCTTCTTCTCTAGACCCCTGTTCTAGTGGTTGACCTACTCGTCTTGCACTCTCCTTCCTGCAACTCCAAATCTGACCTTTTTTTTTCCCTTTCTTTCCCCATCTATATCTCCTCCCCCATTTTCTTTATGTAGGTTTCCCACTCCTCTCTGGCTTGTATGATATGTTTTGCTGGGCGAGACTGCTGGCTAGTCCCTATTTCGTAGGTCAGGTTGAGTGACGTCTGTTCTATCAGGTCAGTCCTAGAGGGTGTCTGTGTCTGTTTCCATCTCCTGGCTATCAGGAGGTTTGCTGCTGTCAAGATGTGAAAAAGGAGGCCCGCTTGTGGTTTTGGGTCCAGTGATATAAATAGTAAGGCACATTCTGGGCTTAGCTTAGTGTCGATTCTTAACGCTCCCCTAACTGTTGCCTCCACCATATTCCAGTATTCCTTGAGCCTTGGGCACGTCCACCAGATGTGGTACATTGTGC